AAAAATAATTATAAAAGCTTGTTAAGTTGAAAACCTGAAAGGGCAACTTAAGCAAAAATAAAGCAAAAATGAGAGTGAGTTGTGAGGATTAAAACAGAAAAATGTGGGAAGTTAGGATGAAAACCCAAAAGGGCACCTAGGCAAAATGAGAGAATGAGAGAAAGTATTTTCTTTTATTTCTGCAGGATCCTAAGGGTAACGAAAAAAAAGGTTGAGGTTGATAAAGAAATATGGAGTTGAAGACCCTCTTTACTATTATATTTTTGGGGATTTACTTTATGTGTTTCTAAAAATACTCGTGGATGTGTGTGTTGATATTCTTGTCATTTTAAGGACTTCTTGGACCAGATTTGATTTACTCGAGACGAGTAAAGGTTTAAGTGTGGGGGTGTTTGATGCACACTAATTAGTAGTGCATAATTACATGTTTTTATGTTTGATTTATGTTAATTGTTTGACGATTTATTTAGTTTGTAAACATTTATGTGATTTCAGCTGTAATTGTATTTTAGTCTTTATTTATAAGTTGTAAAGTATAGTTATGATTTGTGGTGTTGGAAAGGAAGACTTTGAAGAGAAGAAAACAAGAAATTTGACTGCCCAGGAGTAAAACCCGACCGGGTAGAAACCCCCACCCGGTCGGGTATGATTTAACAGACGAAATTGCCAAGAAAGTCACTGGACCCGGTCGGGTCCCCTACTTGACCCGGTCGGGTCAGATGTGACCCGGGACAAAACGACGTGCGAAGATCACCAGAACGTGGCGGATTATCTGATTTTGACCGGACCCGGTCGGGTAAGTACTATACCCGGTCGGGTACCCGACCCAAGGTGTTGAAAAACACCTATAAATAGCACACTTTTTCTTCTCTAAAAAGAATCCCTTCTTCCATTCTCTTTAGCTCAGTTTAGAATAACATTTCTTTATATTTTTCTAGCTATGTTTAGTCTCCAAATGAGGAGCTAAACTTCCATTCTTGGTTTTGCTCTTGAAGCTTGTTGATTATTAAAGTTGTGAGTTATTTTCTTAACTTCTTCTCTTGATTATTAATTCTTCCCTTAATCTCATTCTATATTAATGTTGGAGGGTTGCTAAGTGACGATTAGTTAACGTTCCGACATTAATTACTACTAGAAACGATCAACGAACCGATGATTAATCGTTGGTGGTTTCACAAGTAAGTAACTTCGGTTTATTAATGTACGGTCGTTGTTAATAGACTTAAGAGGGATCAATTTTGTTGGTTAAACCGAAACCGTTGTGTTAAGGTTATCAATCTCAATTGATTTCATCAATGAGTTAAAAAGACTGAATGCTACTATTATATCGGTATACGGCGTTGTTCTATATTTGATTAATAGTAAGGGTTATTAATGAACGGTCGTTGTTAATAACTACCCTCGATGAATTGGAGATACTCCTCGATTGAGTATTCAAGAGGGGATAAGTTATAGATATAACAAGGATCGACTAAAATATATCAACAAGTGGAAAGTAGCAAAGCCAAGTCCCTTTTATTCTTGAATTAAACACATATAGGTTGTTCATCTTAGTTTCTTAATTGAATTAAATCACTCAAAACCAAAACCCCCCTTTTAATTACTAGTTTCACAAAAAGAAAATCATTTCTTTCCCTGTGGATACGAACTCTACTTCACCTATACTACGTATAAGTGCTAGTATCGATTTATTTTGACGCACCGTGACAAAGTGCTCGTCATTACTCAATAATACTTCTCTAAACAACCGTCATGACACTAATTTAATCTATTTATAATCCTACAATGAGGATGCCCTGATTTTTATCTGTGCAAATAACTTGTAATTTTGTAAATTAAATCAACGGTTTGACTTTGGTAAGCATGTTTTTATTTGGACTATTTTTAGTCTCAAACCATACCACACTAGACTTAAATAGATCAGATCATACATTGCCAGACAAGATTAAAACATATCAAATCAGACTTCCATAGTTATAATATACACAGAGACTAGACATTTACCCGATCAGACCAGATCAGATAAGATTTATACAGACTAGACCAGACCAGACCAGACCAACATATTTTAGTGCAAGTAAAAACATTCTAAGTACATTCTAGACCAGACCAGATCAGATATTTTAGATTATTTTTGCACCGCCTTGCCACAGTTATTATACTGTGGGAGCAGCCCATGGTGAGTATTTTGTTCTCACAGCTAAACACGTGTAAACAGTAGAACGTGTGAACTTTCAATAGTAGAGTGATATAACTTGCGTGTGACTCACATTGATGACAAATGTAACTGGAGGCAATTCAAAATGTGACTTGTCTAATACAGAATATAAGAAATAAAATATTGATTTCAATGTAAACAACGAAAAAAAGACTAATTGCTCAATTACTTCACTTTTTTCGAAGAAGTAGGCTTAAATTGAAATCACAGTATTCAAATATGGAGTAAAACGACAAAAAGACCAGTGACAACAACCGGACCTCGAACCAGACTTAAAGTTAATCACCTCTAGAGAAGCAATATAACTCGCCGAGCCTTGATCGGACGCAAATGAGCCAAAGATTGTTAAAGCAGGCCTCTCATCACCCAAATCTAAACTCACACTCTTACAACAATAATCATAACAAAAGGGAAAGCAAATAGTACGATCAAAGAAATTAAAAGGCAATAAGACAATAAAATAAAACTCTTGCTCCATCTTCCAGAGCACCATCTCCGTCCACGTTCCCAAATCTCGACCCACCTATCTGTTTCTGATAATCCGGGAGGCCTAAAGATCTGAACCTGCCACCTCCTCGTTTGTTTGTTTATCAAGAGCCATGTTATCACCAATTGGGTCCTCCTGTTCCTGACCCTCTCATATCCTCCTACGCTTTTGCTCCCTTGGCATTTTCTCTGAGCTCGCTAAATCATCTTCTTTGGTCGTGCTATTACATGTGCCCGTAGTGCACTCTCTCTAGCCTTGTCCTCTTGCTTCCACTCCACTCTAAATATCATCCTTTTGCTGTATCCCCATACTTGAACTAGAGGAGCCTTCTATGAGCCACTTGTTTCTCTCTGTAGGACTAGTTTTTCCCCCTCCATCAGCTCTATGATCCACTCCATAAGATTTTTCCAGTGCCAAATTATCCTCATATATCAATGGACAAACTAATTAGAGTGGCAATAACTCCACAATAAAAGAAAAAATTAGGTAGTTTTTCATATTTAAAATCTACCTAGTGGACAATCCCTCTTTTCTTAAGAGTTGTTCCTCTTTTCAGAGGTTTTCCAACATTATAGCTAATAAATTTATCAATAAAATTACCAACTTTCCTAGCAATGTCTAAGTTCATAAAACCATAAGGAACGTTGTGAACCTGTGCCCTGAATTTAGCCTCATTGAGAATAATTTTGAGTGGAATATCCTCTGGCTTGACTTCCTTGAGAATCAACAGATTCCTTTCAAACAACCACGGACCACTCTCTAATACACATCTCATATCCACAACATGATAGAAAGTGAGAAGATACCTTTTGTCGCCTATTTCTTTGATTGACACACAGTTTCTTGGTCTCCATAACGAAGCCATAGGTTCCTTGAAGATCTGGAACTTAATCTTTATATCCGTCAGAAGGGTGCCAACCACCGGAAAGCTTGTCCGCCTCTCCTCTGCCACTGGATCAACAAACTCGTCCTCGTCAAAGTTTAATTCCTCAGAATCCCCCCCCCCCCCCCCCCGATTGCCATGTTCTTGTACCGATTCACAATATTCTTCATTGAAGACTCCTCCCTACTTGATTGAATCAAAACCTGCCGCCACGCTCAATCAGCCCTTCGACGTCCTTGCTGGGTCGAATTGAGGACGCCTCAGAAGGTCGTGAACCCCAACCTCAAGCTACCCTCCCTTCGCTTGACCTAGAAACCCTGCAGCAACCGCTCTTCGTGAATCGACGAAAATGGAGAAACCTAAGCCCTAGACAGGGAGAGACTGACTACTCAATTTCTCTACTTAGATACTGAATATGTTTTGTTTTTAATATCAGGAGTATGAAAATAATCTAAAAATTACTTTTATGGGAAAACTGTCAAATCAGTCCACTTAATATTTCGAAAAAATCAATCGAGTCCACATACTATTTTTTAATCAATTAAGTCTATCAAGTGCCAAAAAATGATCAAAATTTCCTTTGTCTAGTGATGGATCAGGTTCCGTGTTAATCGGCCTACGTGGATCATCCACATGGCTTTTTTTCCTTTTAAAAAAAATCATTCTTCTACATCATTCTCCAATCTCTACAACTCTTCTCCCCTTTTTCTTATTTCTCTTTTCTTTTTTATTCTCTTCTCTTTTTTCTTCCTTCTTACCCTCTAACTTTCCATATTTCTACCGCCATCGACTTCTGCAGGTGTTATCTCCATGGACCTCTACGGCCACCGCCACCGTCGTTGTCTGGTTGCCAATGAATAAGAGCAAGGGTTGCAGCCAGGTTGACATAGTCGCCTTCTCTGGGCATGAAAGAAGGGGGTAGAGATAGAAAGTTGGGTGGGGTAGAAGAAGTAGAGTGGAGAAGAAGAGAAAAAAAGAAGGGAAAAGAAATAAAAGGCAAAGAAGAAGAGGGGGGTGAACTATTGGGCAAGAATGAAGGGAGGGGGTTGGATGGGGCTGTGGGTAGAAGGAGTATGGGAAAAAGAAGAGAAAGAAGAAAAGGGGAGGAGTTGGAGGGAGAAGAAAGGGATCAAAATTTCCATAGGAGTAAAAATGTTTTGAAATTCCTAGAAGGGGGTCAAAGTTGCCCCGAAAATAGTAACACACATCTAGTCATCTGGTTCATCTAACTCAAGTTCGGGTTTAGGTAGTTTGTGATTATATGTATGAAAAAAGTCACATATGCAAAGATTTGGAAAAAGAGAAGGATTTTGTACTTCATTTATCCATGAATTAAGAAAGAATGGCATAAAAATTACCTATAAACATTTTAATGATAAAAATGGGACCAAAATTCATTTGGACAAAAAAAGTGATTACAAATTACGTATTATATGAATTGGCAAAAGTACCCTTAACCCAAATCCAGCACGTCTCATCTCTACGCCTATTGTCATCGCTTCTCAACTTCACATTTTGTGTCGCCTCTCAATCTTGATCTACATCCCAGCTTTGCTTCGAAGGTGCAGTGGCATCGGCAGAGTCTCCACCACAACGACAATGATTGAGCTCTTCAACAACGAGCATGGTGGCGAGGCTTTAGCTGATGACAATGACGTCACCTAACTTGGTCCAGCGAGCGACAATGGTGATGATCTCAGGAGCGCCATATTGGTGCTTCAAAGAAGATAATGCCTTCAAATGTCTCACTACCTCCAATCCTTAGCACTGAAACCCGCAGACCGCTGCTTCACCTTACGTGGAACACCGTCGCCTAGCTAGCGAAACCGTAGAACTAGAGAGGTTGGTCGATCTAGTCCCTTCAACTCTCACTCTCGTACTATGTAGTTAGTAATGCATATATTTTGTCATTATCCTTTGCTAAGCATTTAAACGCTCTGGTTCCAAATGATGAATTCAGACCCCCTAAAATAAGTAATAATACAAAATTTAACAATAAAATACAAATACACTAGATAGCTGAGTGAAATATAAGTTTTAAAATTTTCAAAGTACACTAATTAGACATTCTAAGAGTATCTCCAGTGCTACAATGTGCACGGTGCACATGTAGCATGAGAGATAGCCACATAAGTTTTTGATAAGTTTGAATGGTTTTATACAGCTTTAATTTGATAAGTTTTTCTCCATAATGTCAAAAGGACCATCCAAATGTTGACATTGTAATTGACATTATAGAGAAAAACTTACTGAAATTGTATAAAATTATTCAAATAAGGAGAGAGATATTTATTTGCTAATATTTATGTGGTTATCTCTCATGTCACATATGTACTGTGCACATGATAGCATTGAAGATGCTCTAATAGTTATATATCTTTTTGAATCTGAAATAATACATAACATCTAGAAAAATAAAACTATAACTACAATGGAGTACTATTCTAGTACATACTAAATTTTTTGTTACCTCTCTATAAAAGTGGACCCCGATGTCCAGCACCTGTAGAACCTCCTAAAAGAGAGGCCTCAAACTAAACAAAATACTCCGTAGATATGAGACATTTGATTGGTTGTGAACATATTCACCAGAATATACTAAATATTGTTTTATTTCTAGCTACAACCTCGGCACTTCAACCTTTGCTTACAACAATTTTAATTTTACCTATACAAATATAAGAAGTATAGATATTGAATTAGTTAAAAGGATTTCTTAATTGATGCTTTAATTTTGAGAGAAAAAAACGACAAATATAATAATTTTTACATTATGTACTACATGATTCAATTTTCATTAATAGAGATTTTCTAAATTGCGGTTTAACGTTTGAGTGATCGAGTCTATTTATGTCAGATCTAGTCTAATCTAGTATGATATATTACGTATATTTATTTTATTATCGTTTAATTCTGATTTATTCTATTCTGTTTAATCTAGTCAGTTGTCTATTCTAAGAATGTTTTTAATTAGACAAAATTTTCTGGTCTAGTCTGCTCTGCTTGACCTAGTCTGATTTGGTACTGAAAATCTGAAATCAAATCAATTAAAATTATTTTTATATAAAACTATGTAGTATCTTGGAACGAATTGAACATATTCAAGGAAAAGTATCCTTATTGTTTGCCGCAATTTTTTTAAAAATACTCCCTATCTTGAAACGAATGAGAAAAATTTTGATTTTGGATATATAGGGATTAATTTTTGTACATCCATAAAAGTTGATGACTATATATACACACACGAAGTATATACGACCTTCATTCCAAAATGATGGGCCAATGTGACTATTTTTTATCAATGATGTTTAAGGTTAAATAATGATTTAAGGTATTGTATTGGTGTATAATTTGTTAAAATTCGGGGTTTCATTCTAAAATGTGATAGGATGAGATTTCAGATTTTAATACTTCCTCCAGTCCCAAATGAAATTCACACTTTGACTTCACATAAATTAAGGAAATAAATTTGACTTTAGTGTAGAGTACACTGTTGTGACACTGTTTGCCACTGTTTTGCACTGTATATCACTATATTTCTACCCAAATTTTCGATGCGGGTAGTCAACATAATTTTTAAATTTTATTTCAAAAGTTAATAACATATACTCATATAATTTCATATTTTAAAATTTTGTATTAAAAAATACTCCGGAGTATGAGTAATTAAGCATCAGCCGTGAGGGGAAAACCAATCCCATGGCGTTTGGTAGGGAAAATAACAAAAAGCATACTGCAAAACACCCCAATCCCCACCGGCATAGCCGTCAGCACCTCCTTCGTTTCCTCCGACGGCGTCGGGTAGAAGCAGCTCACCACATTTTGATCGAACAGCGCCACCGCCGCAAAAACAAGAACCGACATGACGGCGTGCATGAAGTCAATGAACTGCACCCTGTACTTCTCCGCCAGCTCCGCCGGGACCTTCGCCGCTGACCCGTCGATCACCCACAGCCCCTTCCGCGTGGCGAACCCGTAGCACACGTTCCCCCTCTGGTCCCTGAAGCTGTCCGTGAAGGAGAGCACAAAGCAAGAGAGGCCGCAAACGGCGACGAGCGCGGCGGTCATGGCTCGGCCGGCCGGGTCGCAGTGACCCATGTTTGAGAATATGGGTGCGAGGAGCTGGAAGGCCAGGACCGCGCCGGTCGGGAGACGGTTGGCTAAGTGGGCCACGCTCTGAAACGTCTGGCTGACGGCTTTCTGTATGAGGCTCCGCTCGACTTCCGGCGCCGGCTCCAAGAGAGGGACATTCTCGTCCACTAGAACCTGGGACGGCCCGGAATCTTCGCTTTCCACTTGAATCTCCATCCCACGTACGATTCCCACTCAAAGAAATTTTATTTTAATTTGTATCAACTATATATATGAATGGCACCTCAATTCTTCCCCTTTTATTATAAGTAGAGATTTAATTTAGAAGCTCAGCTCTAGCTTTAATTATAACGAAACTTAATTATATGCATAAATGGGTCTTTGATTATGACTTTATTTATAGTTGATGAGGAAATTAATTAAAGGTAAGTAGGATTATGTTGAGTGCGGGAAAAGAGAGGTATATGGGCATTACAGTGGCTTGCAAGAAACAAACATATTCGATCTGGATTTTGGCCGCTTTAATTAATATACATATGGATGACGTGTAGAACATTTGAATGGGCAATTAATTATCAAGTCGCGCGATATTAATTAAACCTGGCTAGGGTATGGCTAGCCTTTAACACAATTATATTGAATTAACTCTGTTTGATTTGGTTCCATCCTCTAAACACTTTCATTTAGCAATGAGTATTGTTAAATGATACTCTAATTGTTAGTGTGTGAAGTACGTTTGTTATTAGTTCATAACTCAAGAGCTACGAGTTTTAGAGCTCAAAGAAATCTATTCAACGACATATAAAAAGTTTGAAACGCAATAAAGTATAGCAAGATATGAGGAAATCAAATACTGCACCGCTTCAAAGTCAACTCGATCGATAATAACTTTTAATTTCTAAGTAATATGTATCTATTCCCAATATTTTGTAAATGAAATTATAAAAAACACTCAATCACTAAAGTTATCACAACTTTAAAGCTTAGCTTATACGATTTTTTTAATGTCAAATAGAACTCATACTCATTTTAGTATACCATAGATGAGAGTCTTTGTTACACTGGATCATGGCAATAACTCATTAACATACTCGTATTTAACATTTTTTCGAATTACGTGTAACCGTTTATTAAGTGGTATCTGTGTTTGTTTTACACTTTTAAATATACATCCTGATTCCCTGTTTTATATATGCTGGCATGACCACATTGAACATATATACCACCTTTTGTCTCAACTAAAACGTTGTTTACTTTGTTGTTTAAGTCGGAACATATCACACAAGACTTAAAACTTTTAATTTAAATGAACAGACTACGTAATACTCCGTAAATGATTAATCATATAAGGATTCAGAGGCGTCTTGAGGAGTTTGGAGGCCCCAGACAAAAAAATTATCATATTGAAACCATAAAAAATCATATGAAAAAAACATATTCAAATTGCAGATATAACGTGAACGTCAAGAGCAAAAATTCATAAAAGAGAATTTCACTAGTTATCTAAACTTATTCTTTCTTTTGGACTAATATATAATAGAAAAATCATAAACAATAAATTAACAAAAACCAAGAATCTATAAATAAAAATGAGAAAAAATAATAATTTAGTAATACCAATACCATCACATTAATTATTTCATGCTAATAATTACAAAAAAATAACATCATACGACGTATAATCTAATTCATACAATACCAATTTGTTTTTACCAGTATAACAATATTAACCCAGTAATTTTTAAATTATACTTATTTGTCATACATTCAACATATTAAATATTTAACTTTACACTTTTACTCCTTTAGTAGACATTGTCTCACTGTAATCACATTAAAACACTTGTAGTACTAAAAAGTTAAAATCCTTATTACCTTATTTAGACATCTACATGTGACACGTCGCTGCCTGCTGGATGCGTACGTAGAAGATAATTTTCCTATTCTAATTTCCAATTATAGTAATTATACATAGTAGTAATAGTAATAACTTTGATTTTGGAGGCCCCCTTCTCATGTGAGGCCCAAGGCTGTTGTCTGGGCTAACTCCCCCCAAAGCCTCCTCTGTAAGGATTTATAAATCTTGCTATATAACGATATATATGTTTAGCTGAAGTTATGAATTGATCAGTTAGTGTTATTAATCAGAAAGTGTGTTTAAACTTTGATATTTTCATCATTATATATTTAGCGAATCATATCCATTGCTTCACACATCAATTTAAACTTTTAACTATTTAATTTGAAATGCCGTTTTATTAACTTGAGCTAGAAGTTAATTAAGACAAGAAGAGAACAAATTAAACCTTTGTCACGTAGCCACAACATGAGTTGCCATTCTGAGAGGAATAATTTTGTGGTTCATTGGCTATGGAAGTGACAACAGTTATTTTCATAAAAGAAAGGAAACAAAAAACTCTTGCTTAAATTTCCAGACATGGCCATAAGCTTGCTTGGAAGCGATGTCAATTTAAGGAGTATTAATATACTCGGTATTATTATCATTATACATACGAAGTATTATAAATTCTGTATTGGTAAAAAAAAATTAAAAATTAGATTATGAAACTTTGTAATGGGACGAATTTAACAATTTTTCAAAAAAAAAAAAAATACACACATTAATAAATAAAATGTATTGTGGTTGGCGTGTTGTGGTAGACGTGTGATGGCCAACAGTATCACCTAGTCACAACACATGACATGAATCGAAATATGAATATCGCTAATGCTAGGTCGTCACCCGTAAGTGACGCGTCATCCCTCCGCCTGAGGGTGATGTCAAATATGCAAGGGCGCGCTACACTTCATAGACCTGGGTGTGGTGATAAGAATGCTAAGGTTGCTAGGTCGCCGCCCGGAAGCGGCGCGTCATCCCATTGCCCGAGGATGATGTCAAATATGCAAGGGCATGGTGGGGTCCGAGATGGGGCTAAGAACAGAAGGTGGAGTGCTAGATTGCGTTTTGGGACATGGAATGTTGGGTCTCTTACAGGCAGATCTTTTGAGGTAGTCGAGGTTATGAGGAGAAAGAATATCAGCATTATGTGTGTGCAAGAAACTAAATGGGTTGGAGAGAAAGTACGCAAGATTAATCCTGGAGGTTTTAAGTTGTGGTATTCGGGGAGAGATAAGACCAGAAATGAGGTAGGCATTATTGAGGCGCGTGACTATGTTGAGGATGTGGTAGAAGTCTTCAGGAAGAACGATCGCATCATGAGAATTAAATTGGTGATAAGGGGTGAGATTGTGTCTGTGGTAAATGCCTATGCACCACAAGTGGGATTGGATGCATCTACAACCCAACAGTTCTGGGAAGATCTTGAAGACGTTGTGCGACGAGTGCCAAGGGGAGAGAAGTTGATCATAGGAGGTGACCTCAACGGGCATGTGGTCTCGAGTCGTGATGGCTTTGAGAGTATTCATGGCGGACATGGTTTTGGCATTAGGAATGAGGCAGGAAAGAACATTTTGGATTTTGCCTTGACATATGAGTTGGCTATAATGAACATTTGGTTTAAGAAAAGAGACTCACCTTGTAACCTATAAAAGTGGAGCTAATAGTACCCAAATTGACTACTTCTTAGTACGTACCACTTGGAGAACTAGCTACACTGATTGTAAGGTTATTTCAGGTGAGAGTGTTGTCACTCAGCATAGTATGCTTGTGCTCGACTTTCGAGGTAAGAACCATAGAAGACAGGTTAAACAACAAGTGGAGCCAAAGATAAAGTGGTGGAGGCTTGAGGGAGATCTTCAACAAAGATTTACACACAAAATGGTCGGTGAAGATGTATGGCGTATTGATAATGAAACACATGTGGATGATGTGTGGTTATAAATGGAGTTGACCATTAACAAAGTGGCAAAAGAGGTACTTGGAGAATCTAAAGGATGTCTGCCACCTAAAAAGGACACGTCTTGGTGGAATGATGAGTTGAAACAAGCCATAAGGAACAAAAGAGATTGCTACAAAAAGTTGGGGACAAGTTAGAGTGATGAGAACATAGAAGCATACAAGGAGGCTAAAAGACAAGCAAAGAAAGCCGTAAGGGAAGCACGAGGAAAAGTGAACAAGGAGTTGTATGAAAAGTTGGACTCTAAGGAAGGAGAACTAGATATTTATAGACTTGCTCGTCTTCGTGATCGCAGGACTGAAGATATTGCAAAAGTTAGGTGTGTGAAGGATGTCGATCAGAGGATATTAATGGACGACGGAGAGATAAAACAGAGGTGGAGGTCATACTTTGATACACTATTCAACGGGAACAAAACGCAAGATATTGGTGATTTATCCATACCAGATTGTATGGTAAATCGTGATTTTGTGAGACGGGTCCAAACAACGGAAGTTAAAGAAGCTCTGAGGAAGATGGGACGGAATAAAGTAGTGGGTCCAGATGGCATACCGATCGAGGCTTGGAGAAGTTTGGGAGAGAGAGGCGTCGACTGGTTAACAAGTTTCTTCAACATGATTTGGAGAAACAACAAGATGCCAACGAGTTGAAGGAAGAGTACTCGTATCCCCTTATTTAAGATTAAAGGCGATGTACAAGAATGTGCCAACTATCGAGGGATTAAGCTTATGAGTCACACCATGAAACTTTGGGAGCAAGTGATTGAGCAAAGACTTCGAAGAATTGCGAAGATTTCAGAGAATCAGTTTGGTTTTATGCGAGACGCACATAAGGATCTGCATTTGGTGTTCATTGACTTAGAAAAGGCATATGATAGGGTACCTCGTGAAGTTCTTTGGTGGGACTTAACTAGGAAAGGCATATCACGCAAGTATATCAACATCATCATGGATATGTATGAGGATTGTACTACAAGTGTTTGTACTAGTGTAGGAAGGACTAAAGAGTTCCTTATTACTATCGGAGTGCACCAAGGATCGGCTCTGAGCCCTTTCTTATTTGCCATAGTCATGGATGAACTTATGAAGTCAATTCAAGACGATATACCGTGATGCATGATGTTTGCCGACGATATTGTATTGATTGATGAGACGCAATCAGGTCTTAAAGCAAAGTTGGATGTATGGCGACAAACATTGGAGAATAAGGGTTTCAAACTAAGTCGGAGCAAGAAAGAGTACATGGAGTGCAAGTTTGGTGGAGGTAGAAGCAATGGTAATAGTGGAATTACTCTAGATGGTAAGGAGATACCAGTCAGCGATATGTTCCGTTACTTGGGCTCCATAATGCAGAAGGACGGTGAGTTGGATGGAGATGTATCCCATAGAATCAGAACAGGGTGGATGAAATGGAAGAGTGCATCAGGAATTCTATGCGATCGAGGTATGCTGACTAGACTGAAGGGTAAATTTTATAGGACAGCAATTAGGCCTGCATTACTGTATGGCGTAGAGTGTTGGGCGGTGAAACAATGTCACATTCAAAAGATAAGTGTGGCAGAGATGCGCATGCTGCGTTGGATGTGTGGGCATACTAAGAAGGTTCGCGTGAGGAATGAGAAAATCAGACAAAGGGTGGGAGTAGCACCTATTAAAGACAAGATGCGGTAGTCGCGCCTAAGGTGGTTTGGTCATGTGCGTAGAAGACCGAGTGATGCACCTGTCACACGAGTTGAGATGTGTGGAGAACTTGTGAATTTGAAATTCCTAGGAATCAGCTTCGTGGCTTGCTCCATCTAATGGCTTTAATTTGAGAACTTGTGAATTTGAAATTCCTAGGAATCAACTTTTCCTCAAAAAGAATTGCACCCGTTGACCGAACCTTTAGTTGGGAGAGGCTTGATGCCCAGGCCTGAATAAAGATTTTAATTTGGAAAATAATAGAGTTTGAAGAAGGTCTAGTTACTTGATTTCCCCAAATGATTTTTGTATAATTTTTCCAAACAAACCAACTGAAAATACCATGTAAGTTATGTTTAAAGAGATGAATAACAGTCTTATCCCAGCTTTAAGCCACCAACTCATGTACACCTAACGAATAGAACTACCAACATTCACCCTAGGTATCCCAAGAATACCCATGAAATAGTCCCAAATAGGGTTCACTACCTCACACCTAAACAGTAAGCGATCCATTGAGTCCTCTTGCTTTCTGCACAAGGGGCATACAGAGGGATTTAAAAGCATTTAAAAGCGTTTAAGTTTGTCGGTTACTGGTAGAATGCCATGAATTACTTTCCATTGAAACACTCTGATTTTCAAAGGTTGTTTTGGATGCCAGGTAAGGATGGAAATGGGGGCAGAGGCCCGTGGGGAACTGCCCGTGGGGGGGAGTTGGGGCGGGGCGGGTATGGGGGTGGGGGAATTATTTCCTCCCCGCTTAAATATGGGGCGGGTGATGGGTTATGCACCCCCCGTCCCCGCCTTGTCCCCTATTATATATCCACATATTAATAATTAATAATAATAATCACAATAATAATAAGGTTTTTTACAAAAATATTACTAAATAAAATTTATTTTGCACAAATATGACTATTAGTTACTACAATGTAGTGTCATAGTAACCTAAGTTTAAAAACTAAACATAAGTTACTATAATTTCATTACTACTCTAGTCACATTTTTATAAACATTGATTTTAGTCATAAATATGTAATTACTAATATGAAGTAATTAAAATATCATGGTGGCCTGGTGGGTTTAGTTGTTTCATATCTAACAATGGGGTGTGCCTAATGGGTCTATCTAATTCTTGTTTAATAACTCAACTATCTTGTTAAGTTGGTTATCAAAATCATATAAAGTAAAATGAATTCGGGAAAGTTATAAAGTGATATTAGTTTAAATGTCTCAGGCACAGTGTTAATGTTTTCTTCTTTTACTATAATAGTGCATTAATTCTTTTTTTATGAATGCCATCTTTATGATTATAATTAGGTCTCTTAAAAATCTGGTGATCATAGGTTGTCCTAGATGCTGTCAAATGACCATGGTTGATTGAATGAAGGGCTTAAGAAAATATTATAGAGTTAATCAATGCTAATAAAGTGTTTGATAAAATGACTAATTAAAAACGTGTATAATATGTTCTAGATTTGAAATGGGATGTAAGATTGCATTGACACTTAGAAACTAAAAGGTGTTTTGGCTACATACTAGAAGTGTTGTTTGATTTTTAAAAAACTGTCTGTGACAAAAATAGTGTTAATTTTTTACGAAATTTTCCCCCGTTGGGTACCCATGGTTCTAGCGGGTCGGGGCGGGGGATGGGGCGGGTCAAATGGTAATGGGGGATGGGGCAGGGTGGGGCAATTTTTTAGACACGAGGCGGGGATTGGGGAGTGAACCCCCGCCCCAACCCCGCCCCATTGTCATCCCTAATGCCAAGCATGTTTAAAGGAGAATATACTTGGCATATCATCTCTTACAACTTCTTAAGCAGATCTAAAAGTGAATAAACCATCATCTTCAGGCTACCAAATCAAACCACCCTCCTGATCAGTGATGCAATAATGAGAAGCTAAAGAATGAATAGAGCATATTCTTCTCCAAATAGGACAATCGGTAATTTTGGGTACCATATTAAGACCTCTAGGGTACCTAGCATTAATAAACATGTTCCATAGGGTATTCCCAGTTCTCCACTTCCACCAAAGTTTGATGAAAAAGGCTTTTTCCAAATGGGAAAGAGATATGAGCCCTAGACCACCTTCATCAATAGGCATACTGAGCTTTGACCATGCTAATCGATGATAATTCCTTTTTTCATTTGACTAACCCCAAAAGAAACTGCTCATTTTCTTTTCAAGGATAATAATAACTTTTGTAGGAAGTGTGTCAGCAGCAAGAACATGTAAAGGAATAGCACTCAAAACATGCTTTATCAAAATAAGTCTACCACCTTGAGTTAAATTTTTACACTTCCAAGGGGTTGATTTGGTATCAAATTGTCTTATAATATGATCACAATCATGAAATATGTTAATTCCTTTGTGTAATTTGACACCCAGGTACTTCATAGGCAGACTAGAGCACTGCATTCCCAAGATTCTTTGCATGCTTCTGAGTCTGGGCCTAACAGCCTCCCCACATATGAATGAACTTTTCAGCAAGTTAACAACTTGTCCTGAAGCAGACCGGTAAGCCATTTAAAAATTATGCAAAGACTTGGATTCTCCATTTAAAAAGATCAAAATATCATCACCAAACCCTAAATGAGAAACAGGAAAGCCAAAATTGCCCATCCAATAAGGTTTTATAAGTCCACACTCCATCTGATTTTTTAAGCCTCTAGAAAATGCCTCTGAAACCAAAATGAAATGGAATGGAGAAAGAGGGTCATCCTGCTTGACCCCTCTCTTAGGTTTAAAAAGACCTTGTGGGACACCATTAACCAAAATAGAAAGATATGTAGCCTCTAAGTTCTGAATCACCATATGAATAAACTGATTAGAAAACTCAAACCTCTCTAGCACCTCCTATAGAAATTTCCAAGAGAGTCGATCAAAGGCCTTTGCCATATCAAGTTTAATAATGACATTAAAACCCCTCATTTTTTTATCTAAAGAATGAACCATTTCATGTGCTATAAGAACTTGTTCAGTGATATCTTTGTTGTTCATAAACCCAGCTTGCTCAATTGATATAAGTTTAGGGAGAATATTGGCCAATCTAGTTGTGACTACCTTAGTACAAACTTTATTGATAAAGTTTGATAAATAAATAGGCCTGAAATCAGAAAAAGTGGCTGGATTATCCACTTTAGGGATTAAGGCTACAAGACTACATGCCATCCCTCCAGGAATATGAATGCCCATGTGAAATTACTGAACTACTTTAGCAACATCAGGGCCCATTATCTCCCAACACTTGAAAACTTTCTCATTAAACTCATCAGGACCTGGATCACCATTCTGATTTAAGCTCCACATACCATTCTTCACTTCTGCTTCATCAGGAATAATCATAAGATTTACATTATCTTCATAAGTAACCAGTCTAGGAATATATTGTAGGACACAGGCCGGATCAATCTGGTCCTCCACAGAATATAAATCAGAAAAGTAAGAAACAAAAACTTCTCCTATTTCATGTAATGTACTAACCAGAGTTCCTGCAAAATTATGAATTGAAGTGATTTTTTTTGTGTCTAACCTTGACAAAAGACTAAACAAAATGGGAATTTGAGTCCCCTTTCTTAACCCATGAATATGTGCCTTTTGTTTCCAATATTTCCTTTCCAGAACATATTTAGCTTTCAGAAAAGCTTGAAAATGAAACCAGTTTTCTCTTTTAGATTCACAAGGATCAGCTTCATATTCTTTTTCTGCTTGTGTGACCTTCTCTTCACATTGTCTAATATCATCGAAAAGATTACCGAAAACATTCTTGTTCCACTCTTTAAGTGTTGAAGATGGAGCGTTGTTTTGAATGCAGAAGCAGATACCCGACCGGGTATGTTGGGTTACCCGACCAGGTATGCGGAAGCTTTTGGCCTGGTAACTCTCTGGAATGGATACCCAGCCGGGTATATGTGATCTACCCGACCGGGTATGTTGAAGTATGGACCTGGGATGAATACTCGCCTGACTACCAGACCGGGTAGCGTGGAAGAAATCTCTCTGGAAACATACCCCACCGGGTATAGGAGGATACCTGACCGGGTATGCGGGAAAAATAGATGTATGGGTTTTATTTTGGACCTACGGCTCTTATTCTTGTTTAGGTTTTTTGAGACATATTTAAACGACTCTTTGTACCTGTAAACCCTGACGCCGACATAATAATACACTACTCTCTCTCGTACGCTGTGGACTAGCACAATCACCCTGATTGTGTGAACCACGTAAAATTCTTGTGTTCTTGATCTTTAATTTATCGTTTCTAATTCGTAACAACTGGTATCAGAGCTATGGCTGATGAAGGGAAGGTCAAAATCGATAAATTTGATGGTCACGATTTCGCTTTCTGGATCATGCAGATCCAAGATTATCTCTACCAGAAGAAGTTCCATCTACCCTTGTCTGAGCACAAAGCAGAAACTATGGCGGAGGCGGAGTGGAACTTGCTGGATCGACAGGCTCTTGGTGTGGTGAGGTTGTCGTTGGCGAAAAACGTTGCTTACAACATCGTCAACGAGAAGATGTGAAGACTGGAGAGGGATAACGCGAGAGCACACTGGTCTGTCATCTGGCTTCTTCCACTTTGAAGGAATCTGGCCGAGTTTGAAAGTAATATACTGTATTCTTTGTTGGCTCTCAAACCTCAAGTGAAATGAAATGTTACTCGACTATTGGTTCTGCGATTGATAAATCTAAAGTGTACTAATGATATTTTCTAATAAACAATATTCCAATTAAGGAAGTCGAAATAACATTTGAAAGTTTCTGATAACGAATGCAATACTTATTTTAGTATACTGTGACTTCCATTTCATCTATTCAAATATATTTTTAGATATTTCAGTCCACTGTGACTTATATTTTTGATTTTTTCTAACATTACTGGTTAGCACTTAGCACCATGTAAAAAGGAATGCAAGGTATAATGCTTATTATACTTAATGGTATCGACAGGTTTTAATTGGCATAGTATATCAATTGTTTGATGAAAAGCCTAAGATATCATAAGTTGTCCAGCAACATAACATTTTACATTTGAATTCAAAATATTGTTGTCTCTATTTTTGTTCACTAGATCTATTCTTGTAATGGTTTGAATTGGGAATGGAATCAGAATCGTCACATTCCTTGCAATGTTCATCGGAATCACCAAATACGACTGAATGTGAATCCCTTGAAGGTTCTACAAGACAAAAAAGAGCACGAGTTGATTCAACAACAAAGCCACCTATTGGTCAAGCTAGAAGTATATTCTGGTCGGAGTGTGTTAAAGGGACAAGGACCTTAAAAGATGGACGCATTCAGCAAATAGGAATATGTAAGCATTGTCAAGCTGAAATTCCTACAGTTGGTGGAAGTAAAAGCGAGTTAAAAAATCATTTGACCGAGAGGTGCAAGTTGAGTCCAATGTATGAAGGGAATCAGAGTGACAAAAGTCAGTCAATATTGACAAGTGAGACTATGGGGCAGCTTAGTGCTTTGACTTCTCATACTTTTAATCAAAAAAGTGTGAGGTAAACATCACTGAGTTTGTGATTATAGATGAAATGTCTTCTCGATGTGTTGAAGGAAAGGGTTTTGTGAGTTTACTTAATGAACTGCAACCACGATTAAGAATCCCTGATCGAAAGAAAGTTTCTAGGATGGTTTATGATTTATTTTTAATTGAAAAAGCTAAAATAAAGAGTGTGCATAGTGACCAGAGAGTAAGTATCACAACTGATACATGGACATCCACACAGAATCTTAATTACATGGTCGTTACTGGACATTTTTTGGATACCGATTGGAAGTTACATAAAAGGATAATTAACTTCACCAAAATTACTATTCATGTGGGCCGTGGGGGGAGTAATTGGAAAAATGGTTGAGGTTTGTCTGCGAGAGTGGGGGATAGAAATAGTATTTTCAATAGTGGTTGATAATGCATCTTCAAATGATACTGCCATTGATTACTTGAAAAAAATGATGAAAAGTGAGAACTCATTATTGTTTGAAGGAAAATACTTGCACTTGAGATGTGCATGTCATATTCTTAACTTAATTGTTAAAGATGGGCTGAAAGAGCTTTGTGATTCAATTAAAGCTATAAGGAATTCTGTTGTGTTTATTCATTCTTCCCCGGCTAGGGTGAGTAAGTTTAGAGAATATATTGTGCTAGCTAATTTTTCTAGTACATCGATAGTACCTATAGATATTAGGACACGGTGGAACGCAACTTATAAGATGCCTGAAGTTGCGTTGAAGTTTAGGAGAGTGTTTGAGAGGATGGGTGAAGAGTCTTTACCTTTCATGAATTTTTACTGAAAAAACTGAAAAGGGGAAAGTTAGGGTTGGACCTCCAAGTTCTGAAAATTGGGAGCATGCAAAAGCGTTTGTGCACTTTCTGAAAAAATTCTATGATGCTACTTTAGAACTAAGTGCAACAAAAACACCTACTTCCCAGTTAGTCTATCAGTCAATGATAGCACTTCAAATTGAGATTGAGAAAAAGAAAAATGACGATCTGACCCAACACTCAAAGAGGTTGCAAGTGCAACGATGCTGAAATTTAAGAAGTATTGGGGAACATGGGACAATGTGAATCCTTTGATTTTTATTAGTAATGTCTTAGATCCAAGAAATAAGTTTCAAATGATTAAAGTTAGCCTTAAAAATAATGAATCAACTTCTACAACTATCCAAGACTCTTCTACAACTATCCAAGACTTTGTTGATAAGATTAAGAATCATTTGGTGAGTTTTTGGATGGAATACAAAGGAATGCATGACCTTTTGAATGGTGAGAGGCAGAATATGCAAGGAGCACGAGAGGGTGGGTGTGGTACCTTAAACAGTGGTGATGGTCTTTGGGATGAATTATTTAATGAGGTTGAAGCTCAAAATGAACAAGAATAGTTACAAGAGATTTCCAATGAGGTGGATAAATACCTAGCGGATGACATTGAAAAAGGATCTAACCAGTCTTTTAATCTTTTGGAGTGGTGGAAAGGGAGTGAAGCTAGGTACCCAATGCTTGCTCTTATTGCCAAGGATATTTTTGCAATTCCAAGCTCAACGGTGGCTAGTGAATCTGCCTTTAGTCTGGGTAAAAGGGCCGTGGATCCCTTTAGAAGTAGTTTGAGTCAAAAGATGGTTGAAGCATTAGTATGCACAAATGATTGGCTTAGAGCGGAGGAGATCTCTTTTTATAAGGATCCAACCGATGATTAACTTGATTTATATAAACAAAATTGAAGACATTGAAAAGATCGAGTAAGAGCTTTTCTTATTAAGTTGAATTTAGTGAAGTATCATTTGATGCTAATATAATGCCTAATGATTATGATTTTATTGTTTTGCAGTTGTAGAAAGTACTCAAGGCTCAAGGCTGCTCTCAATCTTTATGTGCCATCTAGAAATGGTGAGCTCTAAACTGTTAGTAATGCGTTTGAAGAAAGGCAAATTTGGCAATTTAAAGTGCTAAACTATTAAATTGGGGACTGGTATGCTGACAATAATTCTGGTCCCTAACTCCCTATAGGGAAACTTATCCATCTTAGTAATGCCATCTAAAGTGCTAAACTGTTAAATTGGGGATCGACATGTAAGATGGCAATAATTCTGGATTCAATTCATGTTTGTTAAGGCATATACAAATTATGATGAATGGATTCATCAGTAAATATAATAACTCCTGTGTCTGTCTGACATAAACAGAAATAGTAATTTCGTTTCTGGTTTAGATTGTGGTAGAAGGAAAGTGTTACAACTGAGGGTGTGCACATTTATCTTCTTCTTTGTTATACATAGTGCACCCTGTTGTAAGGGTTGATTTTAATATGTATTAATGCATTACTATTAGTTAGTTTGACCACACCATGTTTTCATATACATGGGGAATTGCAGTAATGAGAAACGTAACATCAAATAAATTGAGGGTCCAGTTGGTAAAATGGTGAAGCTTTAATGGTTCTATTTGCAGTGTGGTTGAGTTCAAGTATAACTATGATGTGGCTGATCCTATGTGGCAAGTTGACAACACAAATAAGTTTACATCAATCTGCACTGCCTATGATATTCTTGCTCTTAGTTTTTGAAATAAGAATCTTTCATTAAGGGGAAAAAAGTATGTAGGGGCTTAACTAATTATTTTCATAATTTCATTGTGGCAATCATTTTTAATGTAAGTGATAGCAATGCAGATAAGGAACAACATATATTGACTACTACATCTCAAGGTATGAAGCCTAATATTGGAAAAGATAAAGGTAAAGCTATGGAGCTGGTTTGCATTCCATCTACATTCAAAGGCATTGACTCGGATATTGATACAGAGGTGGTTTATAATGAGACTTTGAATAATGCACTTGCTGTTGGTAACATCTCAGTTATTAATGCCTTAATTACAATTGATAGCTCAGTGGCTAATACTCATTTTACTACTGATGTTGTACCTATTGGGTTTGAGAAAGATATAGTTCATGAGGTAGGTGAACTTGTGTTTCCTACCAATTATAACCCTCCAAAAGATTCAGAATTACAAACATTACTACAATTGCACATTCCAGGGATGGAGAAAACAAAATCGAAGTTGACTACAAGATTTCTGGATGACGTTCAAATACAGACTATGAATAAGGTGCTTGATTATGATTCTGAAATTGAATCCAACATGACCTTTTCTGATGAAGAGGTTAAAAGAAAAGTGCAACCCCTACAAAGTTGGAAGGAAGTTTGGTCAGATATAAGTGCAGTTGTGGACACTATGGCTCAGAAATTAACATCACAAGGTGAAATCTTACATGGGAAGTTAGTCCATCATCTTTCTGGTGAAGAAGCCCAACTGCCAGATCATCAAATTTCTGATGGTCAACCTATCCATGATGATGAAGGATTCATTACAGTTATTGGGAAAAAACAAAAGCATAGATATCACCATGAAAACAGCCCTAGAGTTACAGCAAATGCAGCAAGGAAGAATAAACAGAATGAGATTTCAGCTCTTGGAGATCATAGCATCAACAAGAAGCTGTCTTTAGCTTCCTCTACTGTTTCTCAATGAATTGTCTTATTTGGAATGTCAGAGGTCTGGAAAGTTCTTTTTCCATACTTTGTTCTTTAGAAAGACAATACAATATAAAAATTTTATGTGCCATAGAACCTATTATTTGTAATTCTAGGGAAGATTACTTTATGATGGAGTTGGGGTTTAAAAAAGTTTTTTCCTGATTTGAATAAGATTTGGATCTTTTGGGATCCTGGTTCTTTCAATATCATTGATATTACTTGGCATTCTCAGTTGATGCACTTCAAGGTTAAACGGCGAGTTTTACTCTGGGTGGATGACTGCCATCTAGGTAGCCATAGTCTTAATGTTAGAAGGGATTTGGGGGATTTTCTATCCTTTATTGGTGCTACTATAAATGAACCATGGATAGTTGGGGGGATTTCAATGTTATTGCCAACCATAGTAGGGCTGGTTCGGTATGGTATACCGAAAATTTTGCCCAATACCGTATACCGTACCAAAAATCCGGTATGGCAAATTTTTATACCGATACCGAATCGGGACTTTCGGTATACCGAAATATCGGTTTGACAAAAGGGTCATACCTTACCATACCGAAGAATCGGTCTACCGAAATTTTCGGTATTATCATACCATACTGAATGAGATACTTCATAAAGAATTTTAACACAAGAGTAAAGTCACATCCATTTAAAAAGACCATAATAAGTTCCCATTACACAAAAACAAGTTTTCATGCACCATACATAAACAATTTTCTAGAATAACCAAATACAAAAGTTAATGTTTAAATAACATAAACACTCATAGTCATGCAGCATCATCCACTCCTTAGCCTACAAATGATGCAGTTGGTCTCCTCATTTGTGTAATTTGCTCACCACTTTCCCTGGCAGAAAACAGAAAAGTAGAATATTGAGAGGAAAGAATTAGAGAACTGTTGAAGGAAATTTCGTGTAGTGTGTTATCGTGTATATAAAATATGTATTAGGATCATTCTATGTAAACTATGTATTATATGGGCCCATTGGCCCGTCTCTGTAAACCCCAATATCTCCCTATTTATAGGGTCTTTGATAATGAAACTATACACTCAATTCTCTCTACAACCGTTATCAGCCCAAGTTGCTCTAAACCTATCCTTCCGTTCTTCCTGCTGGCCGCATCTTGTTTCCTCGCTGCTGCGGCACTGTGCTCGAAATGAACCTACGACATGTGAAAGTGAAACACCAAAACAAGGAATTGCCGTTCACACAACCATTCCCGTCATGATGAAAACAAATTCATCCAAGCCCTTTCCCTTCCCAAGAAACTAACTGATCTATCTTCTTTATCGAAAGAAGAATAGCCTCCGCAGTCAGCCATATGTGAAGCTCCCAACTATCTAGTCAAAGAGAACGGTGAAAATAGCTTTACCAATCCGCCTGGTTCTAGACCATACCATCGTCCGACGAACTCAATTCAACTCTTTCGTTTCAGATCGTACGTCAAGCCTTACCACCGGATCTGTTCACAACCTGAATCCTGCCGCCCCTGCCGGATCCCGTCTCTCAACGCCCGCTGCAAGCCCCTTACTTGCCGACATGCTTGTTCAATCTCAATTCCTAGGCATGTAGTTATGTGTACATCTTTATACTTGTGTTAGGTGCCAATTAAATTTATAAATCTTTGTGCGAAAATTCTTTATCACACAAATAATTAATAGAGAAAGTTAAATGTGATAGATGGACCGATATTAAAAATTCAGTACTAGTACTCAAGTTTTTCTGAGTTGAATATATCAAATTCAAGTTGGAATGGGTAATATATCGTTTTTTCATATGTCTAAATCATGAGTGCATCCATGATATTTATATAAAAATGTAATAAGAAAGATTGCATTTATGTGTGTGAAATTTCTTATCACACAAATAGTTGAGAGAAATCTGGATGATTTAATTCAATATAAATTTTTCAATTTTACGTTGCCTCATATGTATATAACTTTAAAGCCAAGTAAATAGGAGAATAACTTTAAAATGCTTAAAAACAATTAAAATTAGTAATCACTTTCTTCTTCTTTCTTTTAAATGGTGAAAAGATTATCTATTTTTGTGAGGAAAAATGGAATAAAATTAAGAAGTTGGTGATAATCTTATCTCATATCGATAGAGCACTTCTAGAACAGGGAGGTTGATATCACAATTTGGGTGGATTCCAAAAAATTGACCAAAAAGGAACACCGATGTAAATTCCAAAAATGTGTACAAATTCAGTTTTAAAGATAAATCACTATTCAATCTGTTACTTGAAGTTTCCTATTCTGTTACTTAACCAACATAAAAGATAAATCGATATTGAATCGAAGTGGTAAAATTTCGAAAAAATACAGTATAGGAAACAATGAGCTATTACACGCATAATTGTAATAAAAGTGAACACAAAAGCAGGGCAATCATATATATATATATAAACTCTTATGTACAGGGAATTCTTTAAGCATACCACATCAGCATGTTAATCCCCAAAGATCTCAATATACTCCATACGAATTAAGAAGAAAAAAATCAAAGGGAAGAAAGTCTGACCTTCAATTGGAGCTTTGTCGTCACTAGGAATTGAGATTGAACAAGCATGTCGGCAAGTAAGGGGCTTGCAGCGGGGCGTTGAGAGACAGGATCCGACAGGGGCGGCAGGAGTCAGGTTGCGAACAGATCCGGTGGTAAGGCTTGACGTACGATCTGAAATGGAAGAGTTGAATGGAGTTCGTCGGACGATGGTATGGTCTAGAACCAGGGGGATTGGTGAAGCTATTTTCACCGTTCTCTTTGACTAGATAGTTGGGAGCTTCACATATGGCTGACTGCGGAGGCTATTCTTCTTTCGATAAAGAAGATAGATCAGTTAGTTTCTTGGGAAGGGAAAGGGCTTGGATGAATTTGTTTTCATCATGACGGGAATGGTTGTGTGAACGGCAATTCCTTGTTTTGGTGTTTCACTTTCACAAGTCGTAGGTTCATTTTGAGCACAGTGCCGCAGCAACGAGGAAACAAGATGCGGCCAGCAGGAAGAACGGAAGGATAGGTTTAGAGCAACTTGGGCTGATAACGTGTTGTAGAGAGAATTGGGTGTATAGTTTCATTATCAAAGGCCCTATAAATAGGGAGATATTAGGGTTTACAGAGACGGGCCAATGGGCCCATATATACACGATAGCACACTACACGGAATTTCCTTCAACAATTCTCTAATTCTTTCCTCTCAAGATTCTACTTTTCTGTTTTCTGCCAAGGGAAGTGGTGAGCAAATTACATAAATGAGGAGACCAACTGCATCATTTGTAGGCTAAGGAGTGGATGATGGTGCATGACTATGAGTGTTTATGTTATTTAAACATTAACTTTTGTATTTGGTTATTCTAGAAAATTGTTTATGTATGGTGCATGAAAACTTGTTTTTGTGTAAATGGATGTGACTTTACTCTTGTGTTAAAATTCTTTATGAAGTATCTCAATCAGTATGGTATGATAATACCGAAAATTTCGGTAGACCGATTCTTCGGTATGGTAAGGTATGACCCTTTTTTCAAACCGATATTTCGATATACCGAAACACGGTATACCGAAAGTCCCGATTCGGTATCGGTATAAAAATTTGCGATACCGGATTTTTGGTACGATATACGGTATTGAGCGAAATTTTCGGTATACCATACCGAACTAGGCCTACTATGGTTGGCAATAGCATTGAAATCCCCCCAACTATCCATGATTCATTTATAGTAGCAGGAATAAAGGATAGAAAATCCCACAAATCCCTTCTAACATTAAGACTATGGCTACCTAGATGGCAGTCATCCACCCAGAGTAAAACTCACCCTTAACCTTGAAGTGCATCAACTGAGAATGCCAAGTAATATCAATGATATTGAAAGAACCAGAATCCCAAAAGATTCAAATCTTATTCAAATCATAAAAAAACTTTTTTAAACCCCAACTCCATCATAAAGTAATCTGCCCTAGAATTACAAATAATAGGTTCTATGGCACATAAATTTTTTATATTGTATTGTCTTTCTAAAGAACAAAGTCTGGAAAAAGAACTTTCCAGACCTCTTGATACGTTCGTAATTTCCATTTCTATGTTTATGTTTTTAATTAGTTTTTCTTGACTTTTACTTTGGAAATTACACACTTTTGGTGTAATAGATTAGATTGTTAAATTCTTGTAAATAGGTTAGATTAGATATATTCTGAGCTTAAGCAGGTTTTGGTCACTCAAAGTACAATTGGTGAACCCAAAAAGTGAAGAGAAGGTGCAAAAGTTCAAAGACAAAAGAAGATCCTGAATTTTGGTCTATACTCGGTCGAGTATTAGCTATACTCGATCGGGTATTAGGTTGGAACTTCAAATCGGATCAGATCCGAAGACAAGGGAACATGCAGGGAAGATTTTGGCCACGATTTTATGTCTATACCCGATCGGGTAGACCGACATACCCGATCGGGTATGCCTTTGAATTGCAAACGAAGATCGGTCGAGTATGGCCTGAATACCACTTTCTAAGCATACTCGACCGGGTATTCATATATACTCGATCGGGTATACTCTTAGAAAATAGCCTGAAACCGGTCGAGTATGCCTCGGATCAAGTGTTACACACGTATTCGATCGGGTACCATTTACATACCCGATCGAGTACCCGAATCCCATCCCAAAAAACTATAAATACACCTCCTGACGAGCACTTTGTCACGGTGCGTCAAAATAAATTCAATACTAAACACTTATACGTAGTATAGGTGTAGTAGAGTTCTTATCCACAGGGAAAGGAATAATTCTCTTTTTATGATACTTAGTAAATAAAAAAGGGGGGATTTAGATTGAGTGATTTGATTTAATTAAGAACTAAGATGAACAACATATATGTGTTTAATTCAAAGATAAAAAGGACTTGGCATTGCTACTTTCCACTTGTTGATATATTTTAGTCGATCATTGTTATATCTATAACTTATTCCCTCTCGAATACTCAATCGGGGAGTATATCCACTTCATCGAGGATAGTTATTAACAACGACCGTTCATTAATAACTCTTACTATTAATCAAATATAGGACAACGCCTTATACCGATTTAATAGTAGCATTTAATCTTTCTAACTCCTTGATGAAATCAATTAAGATTGATAACCTCAACACAAGCGGTTTCGGTTTAACCAACAAAATTAATTCCTCTTAAGTTTATTAACCACGACCGTGCATTAATAAACCGAAGTTACTTACTTGTGAAACCAT